ATAGCGAGAAGAAGGTGTTCCAGTCTCTCGTTTTATGCTTCAGATTTGGGCAAAAAGTGTTGCCAATGATGAGGGTGTGGCGAACGGTGTCTTTGAAGGTAGCTGGGTTTGGCAGCAGAGCTTTCTTAGACGTCATGGTCTATCGCTAAGGGCTAAGACACGGCAGGGCCAAAAAGCACCGGCTGCGATGCAGCAACAAGCACTGGAATTCTGGGTAAAAGTCGAAAAAACACGGCTAGAACTGGGTGTAAATAAGGTATATAACACGGATCAAAGTGGAATTTGTTTTGGGTATTTACCAAAACAAACAGTTTTGACAAAGGGCACTAAAACGGTGTGGGTAAGGTGTGTGGGAAAGATAAAGAACGTTTAACAGGCATGTTTTTAGCGGATTCGGACGGAAATCAGAACCCTACATTTTTCGTGGTGAAAACTGCCGTCAACGAAGTCTGCCACAGCCGCATACAATGATGCAGTACAACATGGCTTTGGTAGTACCCTTTGGACGAAGATCAAACCTCTTATGGATACACTGGATGTGAGAATTAACGGAAATAGCTCAGCATGGTGGAATTCTGAGCTCGCGGTGGAGTGGTTAGACTTCATTTTGCTAATCGAGCCGACGACAAGCCTGTTCTCCTACTATGGGACGACTTTTCTGGGCATTGGACAGAGGAAGTCGAAACCCATGCACAAACGCTCAATATTTATCTGCTGAAAGTGCCTCCAGGACTGACTTCAGTTTGTCAGCCCGCAGATATTGTGTGGTTTAAGCCGTTAAAACAGCGGTTACGCAACGCGTGGGTGCGTCATTTGAGCAAACACTTAAAAAAAACTTCAATTCTGGAAGTTTAGATGACGCTTCTAAAATAATTGCGCCAACTCGTTCTACCGCAATTATCTGGGCGGCAACTGCGTGGAAAGGACTGGGTGTCAGAGTGATAAAACGTGGATTTAAAGGCCTTGTGAAGGTTCGCCGCGGTAGTGATTCGGTACAAGACAGCAGCCAGGAAAACACGGAGCAGTGCAGTAGCGAAGCCTCTGCAGATGCAGGTTCGACAGAGCCAACAGCAGCAGCTATTGATCTTTTAGAAAGCTTGAATGTGATTGCAGACACGGTGGACGACTACGACGATGTCGTCGATAACTTCATGGGCGGGCCTGTAGGTGTGTAGGAAATGCATCTTGAATTTGATTTGCATTTTTGTATGGCACGAAAATTGGTTTTTCTATAAGGTTAAGGTTTTTTGATTGTATGAAAAGTTGTGGTGTCCGGATGGACATATGCTATACAGTATACATATATCTGATAATATCTGTTTTGTGTTTAATGTTTAGAGACCTTTGCATACATTGCCATACCAAGCATCGTTTCCCTGCTAACACAGCAGAACACCGTGTGGCGCTTTCCTTCCTGGTAGCGAAAGCGTGGGACAAGGTCCATATGGTATGTAGTTGCCTGAGAGAAGCTTGCAAACTGGGTGACATGCCTCTCAATGTTGAGCCTTGAAAGGGAAAAAAGTGGGCGCTGGAGCCAAGTTTGAACCTAGCTCATGGCATTAGCAAGGACCCGGATTTATTTGCGTTCAGTCTCAACGTTTTGCGTGAGCGGTGCAAAA